AATCACATTAATCACAGCGCCCTCATCCTCACGCAGTGTTTCCAACAGCAGGTGTACACAGCATAAGCAAAATGTATAGAACAGCTGCTATTTTTGATTTACACTCTGGTTTACACTTTCCTCAAAAATAAAAAATGTACACTGTACACTGCTAAAAAATATTTACACATTGATTCTACAACATTAAAAGTTGTATGTAATATAAACATCAAAGGGAGACTTTCTTTGCACAATAATCGATTATGACCTTGTAATTTTGAGTAAAATTCTACTAATGACCAATATGATTGCTTTTATTTGATCTTCTCGCTCTTTCTGTAGATATATAATTACGTAGTTCTAATTCTAAAACGACTCTCCGTTTGTTATATTGTTATCGATATGTCAATAACAATCTTTTTCAAACATATTTCAGATTTATCGTTCATACGTAAAAATGTTAAAAGGATAGAATCTTTATAGTTTCGATCTGACTGTAATTATTCGTGTGGCGATGAAGGTGAAAATCAAGACAACAGATGTTTTGATGATATTGTGTTTGAAAAAAAACCTAAATTATAATTGCTATATTTGTGATATAAACTCATAGCTTTTTTTTCTTTATAAATGGACCGTCAGATTCTGGGAAAGTGCGCTTGTTCTTCATTCGTCTATTTACCAAAATTTATACTCATCATTAAAAACGTTGTCTTTTGTTTCTTATATTTAACAAAGTGTACACGTACATTTTGTTTTCGATTTCAATTGGGAACACTGCCCTCACGCAATGCTGCGTGTGTGGAAAATTACACCAATCAGTGAAAGTTGTGATTAAACTAGACAAGTACCGAGATTGTAAAAAAACGACATACGAATTTATTATTTGTTAGTGAATTATTGTTTTCCTTCAATAATTGATTATTTCAGTTAGCTATACGATAAGTTATAATTTCATACGAAAAAAGACGTTTGATCAAATTTTGAATAGAGTTCATAATGTATTTATTATGAATAAATAATTGATTAGTTATTCAATATCAATTTCAAATAAAAATATTATGAGATGTTTAAATATTTATATTGTTTTACATAAATACTTTGTTAGAAAATAAGTTTTTAAAGGATATTCTATTTCATGAGAAAAATAAATTCAAATGAATTAAATATAGCATGAAAAAAAACAGAATTATTAAGCCCAACAAAAATTTTTTTTTTTGTTATTGACTCAGCATGTTTTTTCATTTCGACTTAAGAAAGTATCAAGTAATCATTGTTTACAAAATATGAAATAATTAATTCAATTTGATTTAAAATAATGATTCTAGTATTTTATTATTACTTTAAATCATTTTTATAAAAATCGTATTTTTTTCAAAACGAAAATTCTGAAGTAATTTTATTTATGACATTTAAATATAATTGATGATATTAATTTAAACAGTTTGACAGAAAACAAAAACAATTTATAGATTCATTTTGACTAAAATAATGTTCAAACCAAAACAAATTTAAAATTGATGAAATATTTGTTTTTTAGGATAGAAGGGAAATTATTGAACATTAATGAATCAATTGTATATATACTTTTTTTTATGTCGCAATTTTTTTCTTAAATGCATGAGTATCATTGTTGAATATTGTTTATATAATTAAATATGATATTAGGAATGCTTCAATACGTGATACACAATTGAAACGTTATTTATGGTTTTGTTTTATTCTATTTTAGTAAAAATTTCCTCAAAAGAATGTGCTATGTGAACATAACACTATCGAGGATAACTTTCGCATTTTTGTTACAATACATATATATTCAGCATTGGATTCTTTTTGTTTCTATATGTGACGGTATTAGTTGATGTTATTTTTAAAATAAAAAAATATTACTCTATATCTAATAGAAACATTGTTAATAAATTTCTGTATTAAAGATTAACAAAAAAACAAAATCATGACAGTTTTTTTTTTATTTATATCTTATACTACTACATTTTATTCAACCAAAAATAAAACACAAACTCGTCGATAGGAGACCAGATTTATTACATTTATTTTCTGGTTGGCTAATGCTAAGAAATAGTACAGTACTCAAATATAAAAATCGATTTGTTAAAAAGAGTATAATATTGTATAAAGATAACGATATCAACTGTTTTCACTACAAAAATTTCCACATTAAAACTGAAAAAAAAAATTCAACAAATATTTCACATAATTGTGGTTTGTGATTAGTTTATTCAATTAAACAGAGCATGGGGTGGGGAGGAGGGAACAAAAAGAAAAGAAAAACAGTTGTACAAATAAATATTTGAGGTGATTATTTTTAAAATTGATGAATGAATATAATTTTAATGAGATATCTCTAATTTAATTATAGTCTTTTTAAAATTTGCATATAAACAAAGCGCGCCTAAATAAAGATTGTTTACGGCAGTAAATCCTGTATACGAAATAGCACAGTCCTTAGTTTGCGTCTTAGAATAGCTTGAACTCTCCATTATTTTAGAGCACTGAATTCTGTATAAAATAACATTTTTTAATAAACGAAATCTCACGTATGCGTTTCCACTAACGAACTAGTTTCTATAGAAACCGGCTTCACTAAAAAAACAATCGCTGTTTCATCAAATACTTTAAAAAATATAAAAGTAAACCACATGATTAATAAAGCAAATTTTACTTTGCATTATTGACAAGAGAAGCCAGAGATGAAACCGGTCTAGTTTTTCTCGGACCGGCCGGTAGACCGGTTTACCGACCTAAAAGCTGATCTGATCGATCTACCGGTACTAAACAGGATGCTGATAATACGTCAGTTTATCAGAGAAAATTCGACCTATCGTCAAAATATTGGTCTACAGACAATCGGCTGAGGCTTGAAATGAAACCTTGTTTCATGGTGAACTCTCTTATGGGCTACCTTCACGCATAATGGCATAATGCTTCACTGTTGATAACAATAGTCTCATTGATGGGCATTCTGAAAACTATTTGTTAAATAAATTCGTGTGAGATCAGTGGAACTAGTCTTGGTTTCAGTTGTTTTTTCATGTGAATACCATCAAAGAGCAGGAAAGTGAAAAATTTAGACCGGTACCGGTTCCATCTCTGAGAGAAGCTCGCCAAGTGCCAAACCACTTTTCGACCAAGACAATTTTTTTTATTTAATGAGTGCTACGCACTAATAGAAAAGTCTAGCATGGTTTGGTTTTCCGAGTCTTCACTTTTGATATATCAAAATTTTCCTAGGTTTTTCAATAAAAAGATGTCGTCATGTGATAAATCAAATCTTGAGTTTCGACTCGAAATTTTGCGCGAATACAATTCTTAGCAAAAATCAGCATATTGCGTAGCTAGGACGAACTTCGTTAGTACAAAGTTCAAAGTTGAAACTCAATAATCGATTTTTCAATGGACCAAAATTGGTTGTTGAAAAATCCAGTAAAATATTAATATCTCAAAAATTAAACCATTCTAAACGTTTTCATTACTCATCAAATGAACATCATCTCGATTAAAAATTGATTTAATACTTGAAGAGATTTCCTCTGTTTCGTTGCTATCAAAATATAAAATTGATCAAAACAGTATTCTATATAAGCACTATTTTGAAATAATTCTTTGAACATGTATTCGGAAAGAGTAAAAAAAACTGTGATTCGAACAAATTGTTGCTAACTTTGATTTAGTTGTCTTTAAGTGATTAGAAAATACTCTAATTTTCAGAGCGAAATCTAATTAAAAAGAAAAGGACTATTTTAAGGCCGATTTCAACTCCCTGATAACAGAAAAATACGTACACACTTCAAATAGAATCTGTTTGACAATATTCTAATTTCAATTGTAATATTAAACTTTAAGATCACATAGACAATAATTTAAAAGATAATATAGTTAACATAAACCTATTTAATAATTTTATCAAAATTCTTCTTATGTCTCTTCAAACATTCGATTAACATCGATGTGAAATGCATTAATATATAATAAAAAAAAAAGAAAAAGAATGAAAGAAGTTAACAATAACAAGGACACGGCAAATGTTGTAAAAACTAGATAATCAAATGTTCATATTATTTTTTATTTTGTTGTCTTTGTTTAACAGCCCAATTATGTAAACGAGCCATATTTACTTCAGTTGTTGTTATTTGATCTCTATGATGTTTTTCAAAACAAAAAAATGATTCTTTTTTTTAAATCGAAAAAAACAAAACAAATTTTATACCTTAAAAAATCAAGATCTTCATCAACTTTTTCAAGTGTTGTATGTGCTGTTTTTTGATTTCCACGTAATAATTCTTCTGCTTCATCCAATGTATATTCAAGCATAACATTAGCACCTAACCATAAACAAACCTATCCAATAAATAATTTTTTTTTATCTTCTAATAAATTAATCTTTTCATCTCTAACCTTATCTGTTGGTGGTATTGTTGCTTTACCATAAAGATTATGTGCTAGTAAAAAGTTTGTTTCCATATTAGTATCATTTTCACGATATTTACGAAGTTGTTCAACCATGTCTATAATATTATTTTAGTAAAATATTTTCATAGGTTTAAAAATAATTATTATATTACCTAAACAAATTTGAATATCAGGTAATTTTCCTCGTAAACGTTTTTTCTTTTGTAATAAATTCATTTCCATAAAACGATATTTACTATTTAAATCATCAAGTCTTTCAAAAACAAAAAAAAATTAAATAAAAGTTCAATTTTTTTTTCTTTTGTTTACCTTCGAATAACTGTATCAGCTGAATCATTTTCTGGTTGTTGCATAAAACTATCAACATCTTCAACAAATACAGCTTTTGGTATACCTAAATGTTCAGTATCACTACCACTTGTTAATGATGCCATAATAGAAATTTTTGTTTTTCTCTAAAAAATTCATTTGATATAAATACACACACAAAAAAAGCTCGAAGAAATGCATTGCACAATATTTTTTTCTTTAAAGAAAAAGTATTTACAAAAAAAAAAGAAATCACGTTCGACTTTAAAAATTACAGAATTCAATTAAAGATGTGGTTGCCGAAAACTATAAAACAAAAACAAAAGTAAATATGACATAATAAACTTATGTTTACCGTATTATTATTCGTGCACGAAGAAAAAGTCGAATCAATGCAAAGACAAAAAAAGGCCAAAGTAAAATAAAGGCAATAGCTCGACGACGTAAACCAGATAATGGTAACCATCGTGATAAAGACTATAAGATATTATATAAAATTATTACAAAAAAAAAAAATTTAACCTACATTTGATTTAGATGAACGATGTAATTGTGTAGATAATTCTCTCTAAAAATAAAAATAACTCCATATACATATATTAGATGATGAAAAAAAACAAATTATACATCAGAGCTACCAACAGGCTACTTTTTTTTTGGTCAGACCAGACTGGTAGCTCTAAGATGAACTAATATTTCTGATTTTTACGATTTGTTTAGTTTACAACTTAGCATTAATTTATTGTAACTGTTCCTTCACCCTCCCTATATTAGCAGATCCCCGTGAAGAAAAAGTTCATCGGACATAATACAAGATTCTCTAAAAAGTTTTTGAACTAGAACATATCAGAAGATTCAAAGTCTTCTTTTACGCGGAGGAGAGACAAGTTTATCAATTTTAATTATTTATTCCACCATGTTAAACCAATAGAATATGCAACAATAAAAATTGACGAAATACGTTTACAAATTATTTCGTGTCATCTTACGTTTCCTACTAGAAAAGTTAATATTTAATTAAAATCAGGCCAACAACTTCAGTCTGAAGTTCTGTTATATGTCGAGAAAAATTTTTTCGAGAAGCTTTAAACACTTGTGCTAACGCTAAATCGATGTTATAAGTGAAGGACAAAAAACATTCGATGTTAAACAAGAATGACTATTTTCGAATTTCAAACAAATAAAAGCAAAATTTAGTTAAACAGTAAAAAAAAACAAGAGACTAATACTAACAAGAAGAAATAAGAATTTTATGTTATTAAATAACCTACAGATCAAAGTATATAAGTTATCCCTATTGAGATAATTAAAAGAGCGAAATTTTTCACTTAATATCTTTAACTAATAAAACATATGTAAATGAAGAAAAATTTAATTAATATTTTCTAACCTGTTGAAGAAAATGTGATGATGTTTCTAATCGATTAAGACGTTCTAATATATTATTAACATCACGTTGAAGTTTTGTAAGTGCTGCTAATATCGCACGTTGTGTTTCTTTATTATAATTAGTATTTGGATGTCGTCCATTACCACCACCACCAGATGCTACAGATGAAAATGAATAACGAGCACCATCAGATGGATCATGATGACGATATGATGAATGTGTTGATGATTGACGAAATTCATTTGAATGATTACCTTATTATATTATCAAATAAATAATTTATAAAAAGCGAAAAAATTTTCTTACTTCCTCTATTGGAACGATGTACAGGAACATTTGATCCATCTTGACCACCATATACATGTGGATGATATTTTGTTGTATTATTTGACAATTGTTCAGTTGGAATGTTTGATATTGATGAAGGTTCATTTGTCTAAAAATAATTTATTTCTATTTTGATAATTGTTAATATATATATTTACTTGAATATTATCTTTTGATATCATTTCATCATTTGATACACCAGGATTAACAGAAAGTCGATCAGGTGGATCATCATAAAATTCTTCAGCATCTATATAATAGTTTTAAAATGAATATTTAATATGTTTTTAAATAAGATTTTTTGTATTTCGACAATCATTTTACATTGAAAGAAAGTCTTTACAAACTATTTATAGTTAGTACTAAGGATGTACCGAGACTCTCGATACGGGTAGTCTCGGACAAAAAAACTGAAAAAATAATAATTTCGACCAAGAATGAATATAATGCTTATCTAGGATAAAGAACGAATAAGAAGTTAATTGTACTCGAGACCGAGACCGGGATTCTCGGTACATCCCTAGCTAGTACCGGTTAGTGGCGTAACCAAGGTAGGGCCGGAGGGGGGGCTCAGCCCTACCACCGGTGTTATCATCGTCAGCTGAATCCTTCCACAAGCCCTACCACCCCACAGACCTCAGTAATCTGAGCCCTACCACCGGATATTTAAGCGTTGCTGAGCCCTACCATCGCCAAAACTCTGGTCACGCCACTAGTATGTCTTATTATCTAATAGAAGATATCAAATGAAAGTTGATTATGTTAAATATTACAATCAACAACTGAAATAGTCTAATAATTGATCAGTCTATTGTTGGTATAGATTGTAGAAAGGGATGTGTATGTACAAAAATGAACTTATAGAGTAAACAAAACAATTTGTTCACTCACAACAGAACGAATATCTTATCTAAAAATATTTCTATGTCATTCGTTAGATAAAATTTTAAAGATAAATGAAATTTACCTGAAGAAGATATTGATGATGAAGATGAAGATGGTGATGAAGATGGTATTGGACCATTTCCAGATGAAACTATTGTTTGAATAGGACCATTAGTATGATTCATTGAATGTTCATCATGATTATCTATAATAAAATTTTTATTCTTTTTTTTTTTTTTTCTTTATTTCAATTTTATTTTTACTTTCACCGGTTCCATTAACAAAAGATTCAATTGTATTTTGTTTTTTTTTCTTAATATTTGTATGATGTGATTTTTTTTTAATTAATAAATTTGATTGATTTTCTTCTGTTTGATCATCAACAAATTCATAGAATGGTCCAATTAATTGAGTAAATTCTAATACTTCATTTGTTTGTGGCATTGTTTCAAGTATCTAAAATTAATAATAAAAGAAATATTTATTTTTTTCTAAAAATTACTTTTCGTATTTCATCAATATAAGCTGTCATAGCTGCTTCTTTACTCATTGATCGACATTTATCCCATGCATCCCTTAATTAATAAATAATTTAAATATATAAAACAAAAACAAAAAAAAAATGAATTCTAATATTTTATGATTTACCATTTTGCTCGATTAATATAATTAAATACAGATGGTCGTGATTCTTTACATGGACCTATTGTTGCTTGTTTATAAAGACCATAGAAAGTTAATTTCATTTCATTTGATGGTTGAAAAGTACCTAAAAAAAAAAATAACAAAATTGAAATTAGTTTATTATTTCTTTTTTGTAAATTTACCATCAATTGGTAATCGTTGAATAGCTTTGACAGCAGCATTAAATTTTTCTTCTAAGCTAGCTGTCGTCGATGCCATGAAATTTTTGCAAAAAGAAACAAACAATAAACAAATCTTTAACAAAAAAAATTCAATTAAAGACAATTCTATCAAATCAAAACTTTTATTTATTAATTTCTAAAACAACAACAATATATATTATCCAAGTGACATAGAATAATCGAATAGGAGAAAAATAAATATATAAACAACCGATTGAAAATGACATCTATTCAATAAATATTTTCTTAGAGGTTTATATTTAATAATGGCTACACATATATTATGTCAGTTTTTATTATTATTATTATTTCATTACACTTCTTTTTTTTTTGACGATTTTTGTTAAATATGGTTAATCAAACATATAGCGGTACAACTAATATGAATTCATCATCATCATCAGATCAAAATAAGAAAATTTTCCTTGGTGGTTTAAGTTATAAGTATGAATTACATATTTATTTATTTTTTTATTCATCATGAAAAATAAAAATGAAATTTTTATATTTCTTTATTTTGATAGTACTACTGATGAAACATTACGTACATTTTGTTCTCGTTTTGGTACAATGACTGATTGTGTTGTTATGAGAACTTCTGATGGAAAATCAAGAGGTTTTGGTTTTGTTACTTATGCAGGTAAAATTTAAATTAAAAAAAAAGAAAAAAAACAAACAAATTAAATATTTTAGATGTATCATCTGTCGAAGATTTTATGCGTTCTAGACCACATACAATTGATAATCGTCAAATAGATTCAAAACGAGCTAGTAAGATATTTCTAATGAATAAAAAAATATCAGCTTAGAACTGTCAATATTTCCTAGTATATCTATTGACATTTTTCAAAATCTTTTAATTATTTACAAAATGGATAACAAGATAGGTTTCTTTGCATAATGATTTTTCAATTAGGAAAAACATATTTTTAGTAGTTTTCGTTGTCATGACACTTATCTGATCTCCTACAGCCTATACTTTATTAAAGTTTCATCCTATGATTGTCCGAGTATTAGTTTTTGATACTAATTTCAAGTATGATATAAATATATCTTGACAATAAAAAATTTCGGATTTAATAGTTTTAGAAAGATAAACTTTTGAATTCACAAAAAAAAAATCTAATGTTGAAATTTTTACTATTTTTATGAATTATTTCTAGTGCCACGTGAAGATCAAAATAGTGCTGAATCACATTTAACAGTAAAAAAATTATTTGTTGCTGGTTTACGTGATGGTATTGATGAAGCATGTCTTCGAGAATATTTTTCTCGTTTTGGAAATATTACTGAAATTCTTGTTATGAATGATCGTGATGGTAAGTTGAAACTAATAAAAAAATTAATTTTAATATAAAAACAACAAATAATTATAATAGGTAAACCTCGTGGTTTTGCTTTTGTTTCATTTGATGATTATGATGCTGTTGATAAAGTTATTCTTGAAAAACCACATTTAATTAATGGTCGAACTTTAGATGTTAAAAAAGCTGTACCTAAAGAAAAAATGCAAGAAATAGCAAGTTCAACTGGAATTAATAATAAGAGAAATTATAATCAACGTAATAATTTTGAATCAATACGAAATAATAATGAAAATGATTGGAATAATCAATCATCATCATCATCATCATATGGTCAACAAGGATATAATTCAAATGAATCAAATTTTAATCAAACAATACCATCAAATACAGGTATTTATCCTTCATCATATAATTCAATAGGACAAAATCAATTACCACAATCATCAATGATGAATTATAATTCATATAATACAAATCCAAATATGCCTTATAATAATAATAATAATAATAATCCAAATTTTATGCCATCATCTTATGGAACAAATCAACAACAACAAGGTTATGATACAAATCCAAATAGTTTTAATAATATGAATAATCCATTTTCTTTACCATCACAACAAACTGATACTAGTGGTTATAATACTAATTCATCGATGTCAAATCCATTTAATAATACAAATTTATATGATAATACTTCACAAAATTATAATGATAATGGAATGAATTATTATAATGATATGCCATCACAACAATCATCACGTGGAAGTGGTCCTATGCGTGGTAAACGAGGGTAAGTATTATATATTATATTTTTCAAAAAAAAAAAAATTCAATATCTACACTCATAAAAATCAAAGGATAAAAATTACGAATTCATATCTTGAGAGTAGATCTCTATGAGTTGATACTGAATTCAAGTTTAAGATCAACTTTAACTCATGAAATAATTTAAAGATTGTTAGATTTCGTAATAAAACAAAATTTTTATATTTTAAATGACTTATGAAAGTTATAATCGTGTATTAACTATTTATATGTTTTTTTTTAAATATAGTCGAGGAGGTGGTCCGTCTGGAAATAATAATTCATCAAGTTTTGGTAATCGTTCAGGACCCTATTCAAAACGTGGTAGTAGTCGAGGTGGTGGTGGTGTATCAAATTTTAATAGTCGTGGTCGAGGTCGTGGTCAATAAAATAAACAAAAATATAAGTGTGGTATGTGTTTAAATAGAACTCAAATAAATGACATCCATATTGAGATTATATATAATATATATATCTTTGTGTGCGTGTGTGTGTGATTAACAAAGAGTAAAAGCATTTTTTTTTCCATATTTTTATGTTATGTAGCCATCACATAATCATTCATTTGTTTTCTTTCATAATTATTAATTAAAATCAAGATGAGAACAACATTAAAAAAATTAGAAGATTTTTTTGGTTTTTTTTTTTCATTTAATCAGACGATATATATATATAAAATTAGAATTAAGATAATATCCAATTCAAGAATGAAATATAGTCTTGGTTTGGTTATGGAAATTTTTTTCTTGATTCTATTACTTTTTCATGTTTCACATCAGTTGTGTAAGTCCATTATGTCGTTTTTATTTTACCTGTCTGCTTTTTTTTTTTATAAATATACACATGAATTGAATATATTCTTATCTAAGATGTAAGTATAGAATAATAAGATATCATAGTTGATCTCAGTAAACACACAAAAAAAAACAAAAATTAGTGTTATAGAAAAGTTTAACTTTTAGAATTGTTAGAGAACGATAAGTTCAATTAATTACAAGAATTTTAATAGATTTTCGAAATATATTGAGCAAAAATTCGTGATTTTTGTTTATTTTATTTTTTTGTTTTTGTTTTGATTTATAATCTAAATCGAAATTTGATTAATTTAATTGGAAATCGAGTCTTAGAAGGATTGGATTCGATGGTTTCTATCGAATAGAGTGGCATGAACAATTTATACAAGAAAAATAGTGGTTGAAAATACATCTAATTTTTCAAAGTTATATATATTTATGACTATTTTAATGAGTACGAATTCAGAACTATTGGTATCGGTATAAAAAAAAAACATCCGTATTCTTACTGGAACTTTAGTTCCAATGTCTAAGGTATTTTTCATGTCTTTTGTTTCTAATCCGTTATGTATATTTTCTTTTTCTATTAGCCGAAAATTTCATCGTTGCCTCATGATATAAATGTGGTTGGAGCTATTAGATAGTCTAGCATCTACATAGAACTATATCAAAGCGCACAGGCGAATCATCAGTATACACAATATACATCAAACATCTGTTAATGGGCTATTGTTATATATATACACGTATATATATATACTGAGTAAGCAATTTGGTATAAAAAAAAAAGAAAAAGAAAAATCTATATTTCTAGGTAAGTATATTTAGTTTATATAAGAACAGACAGATAAAAAGAAGACTAAGTGAATATTTTATTCTAATATAGTTTTATATCATTTAAATTTGATTCATTATGTTTTATTTATATTTTAGAATGGATTTGATATGATATTAAAATCAAATATCTGTTAATGAACAAATATGATTTTATGTATGATATGTTTTTTTTTCTTTTTGTTATAGAATATTTTATTTTCTTCTAGATTTACATCTAATGATATGATACAAATAGAAAATCTAAAAGTAAGAGAGAAATATCATTGAAAAATCCACAAAATATTAAATTAATGCTATATTAAAGTCTCGATCAGTTCATTTTGCTTGAAAAAAGTCTTGTAGAAGAGAATCGATCACCTCTCTAAATCTACTATTATCTTATAGCTCCTTTTTGGAAGTGCATGAGTCAGATAAATGTTCTCAAAACGATTAAAATATTCGTAGGACATGTAAACATATAAATGAAACAGAATAGATTTAATTTTTCGTGAATTTATGAAATTCAATGAAAAAAAAAAGATCATATTTACTAAGCATTCAGATGATGATGTTTAATTTATTTGTTTCATATCAATTGATAGAAAAAAAAAACAATCTATTAGTTAAATAGTAAATTTATCAAAAAAAAAATTGATCATATTGGATAAATTATTTTCAATGACAAAATTATAAAAAGTAAGATTATGATATTTCTACTTCAGTTTATAATATAGAAATATTTTCTATTATGACAAACATTTCTGCTTTTTGACTTTCTAAACAGTTAGATAACTTATATAAGTAAATAATATTTTATTCATATGGACAAAAATGTTTACAACAGATGGATATAATAGAACACATTATTATAAATAACTATGAAGATGTACATTATTGATCGTCAATTCATTATGTGTTAATTATTTTCGGTTTATTTAATCTCTCGATATATGAAAAACGCCTCAAGGAACATAGTGTTGATTACAAGTAACTTCATGAAAGAAAGAAAATAATTAAAACATATTATAAAATGAGTATAGATAATATGAATCACAAGCGATGATTTGTAACATTGAATCATCTTGGTATGGATAAATAATCATTGATGAATAAGTAGTTTGAGACTTGCCGAACAGAACAATAAAAAAAAAGATTCTGTAAGAGGATGAACTCATACTTAATGCTAATGTCTCAGAGACGAGCATGTTGCTATTCTAATCCGTCATATACTGTAATTGTCTTAAATTGTAAACGTGTTATACAATACAAATTGTTTCTAACAATTTATCAATAAAACACGAACATATATTAATCATTATAAGATATTATATAGTATTGGAAAATTTTCTTTATATATGAATTAACCAAATGTTTACAATATCAATCATTACAACAATATCATATGAAATACGATTTTTTTTTCTCTTTCATAAAAAACATGTAAATAGAAGAATATTTTTTTTTTTGTATAAATCTAAAGTCAGATTTTTTACTCTGTATTCTATATTCTTTTGATACAAATATGTTTTTTATCTATATTGAAATGATTTTTTTTTTAATAAAATTTTTATTAGATTTCAATTTGTTTTTGTTTTCTTAGAAAAGTAAACTTCATTAGATTCAATAATTGAAATAGATTTAAGTATGAAAAAAGATCAATGATATTTTTTTCGAATCGTTTAAAACCAAACTCTGTAATGAAAGAAATATGAATATCTTTTCATTTCCATTAGCATTCGTACATCATCACATATGCAGCAAAATGAAATTAACATTGTTTGTTATGGTGACATCTTAGTTCGAAATATTTCACTAGAAATGGAATAGAATCACTAGTCTTTTGTGAAACTTCAATGGCATTGATCATCCTTCATATCATAGATCTATTATTTCAGATGTTTTCTGAAAGTCACAATTATCTTCTTTCTTCTCATAGTTAGATCCATTATTTTCATAGGTCTATGATAAATGTTACCATCTAGCATCGATTGCGATTGCTATGTCCTTGTTATCTTCATGCCAATTTTCTCTTTTCTAGGACATTCTGATTATATCGATCATGCATATAAATATATATACATATGTATATATATATATGCGTGATCTTTGAGTTTCTTAAAATGATTATTTCTTCTAGTAATAATCGTATTATTCTTAAGAAAATGAATAAATAAATAAATAAAAATAAAAAAGACAGTTATTATTTTAGATAAAATTTATGTCGACTGTCGTTATTACTGGTCTTGATAGTCGTACAAATGTTGATACAGTTGAAAATTTTTGTCAAACTTATGGTCGAATACTTAATTGTTATATAAAATCTAATCAATGTATAGTAACATTTGCAGATAAACATAATGCTGAAGAATTTATTCATGCTTCACCACATCGTATTAATTCAACTAATTTTGTTAATGCAACATGGAAAACAACATTCAATAGAAATTCTTCTTATAATCAACATTCAACAGTAAAAACAACAACAACAACAAATTCAAATAGTAATAATCGTTTAACAATACGTGGTACATCTGAACAATTAGAAGAAAAAAATCTTATACGATATTTTTCACATTATGGTCATGTACGAATGTGTTTAGCAAATTCATTACAAGGTTTTGCAACAATAACATTTGATGATCGAATAAGTTATGAACGTGCATTAAAAGAATCAAGACATTTTCTTAATGGACGTTCATTAATTGTTGAACCATATACATCAAATGATGATATACAAACAAATAAACGTATAAAATTATCTGATCCAA